TCAAATGTTTTTTCCGTGGATAGATGAAACTTAAGTTTTTACTTCAAAATGTTGAAAATCGTACGTCTCTATTATTTTTTCTTTAACAGTTGTTTTAAAATCAATCGAGACTCTTGTATTTTGAAATAGATACTCTGGAAAAAAAAGGTATAGTATGAAACTTATGAGATTCTGTGGAACTTTTCTATACCAATTAGGTATCGTACGTATCTGCGAAACCTCATTAAGGTTTAGTAATCGAAGAGATTTCGTATGATACCCTTCAAGGTTTTGTATCATACTCTTCAAGTTTTCGTATTCGAACAGGTTTCATAACACACCTCTTGAAGGTATAATATTAAAAAACGTTTCGTACATACCTCTCTCTGTGCTACTCTCATATGAGAGGGCGCTTGTTTTTTGTTCGCAGCCAGGATAGCTGAGAAATGTTGTGAACTTAATTCCCATTTGAAAGAAAAATTGTTAAGCTACAAAATAAGGCGATCCCAAACTGTGTACGTTGCTCGGCTGCAGGTCAATAACTTTCATAAAATGCAACGGGCTTACGTTTTTAGGCTGGTACGCGTGGAATGGCCGTTTAGACAATCCATATTTACGCGTATTTTTATTAGAAGATGATTTTATTCTCAAACGACAAGTTTTGTGCATAAGTGGCTTTTCTTTGGTGATACTTGCATTTTTTCGATTGAATTTGTTGCTATGTAGTAGAAATAAATAAATTCAAGACACATATACAAAAATATACTATATAAAATCCATACGTAGAATCAGTACGGAAAAACCTCTACGGAACCTTTTTTGAAAGCAGGGGAAAAAGGTGTCGTACGAAACATTGTTCGTACAGAACCTAAAAAAGGTTTAGAAATGGTTTCAATTCTCGAAATCCTTTTTAAGTTCCGTACGGCACCTTTTTTTTTTGGAGAGTAGTATCTATGCGAGATGGTTGTTTAGCCTACTAATCTTTAGATGCTTTACATCTCTGACCAAACATGTCGATTTTGGGATTGTTATCGCAAAACGGGAACTAATTCTTCGTTCTCTTGATGTTTCATTTGATTACAAAATCACGACATTTACTGTAAACCTCATTATAGATATGAGAGCACGTTATGACTGTCTCCATCAATACAGATAACATTTAATTCTTTAGAACAATGTTCATTATCCACAATCGGTGAAAATTGTTTACGTAATCACAAACTTATTTCATGAGTTTCAAACAGTAACGTTCGAAGTTCATCATTGAAGTTCTTGGTAATCGTTTTTCTGATGAACCCTATCGTTCTATGTATACAAAAGACGATTAGCTATTACCATTGAACCAAAAATTATTAACAACAAAATTCCATTTCATTAGCAAGTAGAAATATAAAAATGTTGAGAAAATTCTTCATTATGAATCGGAATCTCATCGCCAATACAAATCTTTCTTGTACGATAGTACTAATGTAAACTCCAGTACTGGAATTATTTAAGTGTTAATTCCAGTACAAACATCAAGAATTAGATCAGATTAAATCCAATGGGAGTATTAATTCAACAAATTCAAAACTTTCATCAGACCATTGGTCATTTCCATCGTCCGAATATCGTGAATATTTTAAAAATATTTGATTACAGCCATCGTCCAATTGCCAAGTAACAAAACAACATAATACAAATTTAACACTGTCAACAACAAATCACGTCATCAGACAACTCAATTGTCCATATTAAATCAATACAACGTATAAATAAGATTTTGTACCGTATAAACAACAAAAACAACAGCAAATGAAAAAACAGAATATTTATGAGGCAAGCAGTGCATTTCGACAAGAATCATTTGATGATTATGGTAGCGTATCGAGACAAACACATCGAAAACTATGTTCGATACCAATAGTGGGTATTTCAGAGCAAAATATTCTAAATATAACATGGCAAATGGAAGCCGATAACGATTCTGCTGATAGATTATATTCAACGTACAAATATTATTACAGGCCCTAACAAATGAATAAACCACGTTTGTTGTCGTATTCCACCATACTTCCATTTCGCTCACACATTAAATTTGGTGATAAAAGTAAAGATAATTCATGTTTAGAATCACCTTATCAAGATGCCTATGTGCTTCATCTACTCCAAAATAGAAAAACTATTTTCTACAAAAATATGGATAGATATAAATGACATCGTCGAGGCAAGTTTGATTCAAATGCAAGAAAACTTTGTCGGTCAAATGGAAAAGAATGATGGCTCGGTCATTATGGTGAAGAAAAAATGGATAAACTATGGGAAAGTACATTTAAGAATTATTATAAATTTAAATCTATTGGACAGTAGTGAAATGTTGTTGCTGAAAAACTTAAAAAATTCGCATAAATATTACCGTTAGATACACAAGGATTTCAACTATCAGATGATATCAGTTTATAGAGATTAATATCAAACACAAAAGTTTTATGAAAAACGTCAACCAATTATTCAATATCCGATGAAAACGACATTGAAATGGGATGATCATCGTCTAACAGAATATTACAAATTACAATAAGAATTGGACTATGTTGTTCATAAACCACGCTACTAAATCAGACATTTTCAAGAAAAAAACTCAATATGGCAACTAAACAATCATTTTCAAGAAAATTTGATGCCATTAAGTTGCAGCGATGAACAAGCCAGTGATGAATGCCATTTAATAAATACATTTTTCAAGAATAATAGCTTTTCGATGAGAGACATATATGATGCTAATAAATTAATAGATGTTAGATAGTGATAGTTAAATTGATTTGCTGATTTTACAAAGTTTGTTTGAAGTGAATATAAATTTTTAAAATGTGTATATTTTAAAAAGCATCTATACAAACTAAAAGTAGACAACTAGATGTTTTAGTTAAACAAGCCAATGATGCACAGTAGCAAAGTTATTGATTATACGCTCTAAAATAATCATGTTGTTGTTGTTTTATTATTTTACAGTCTTCTCCTGTTGGTGATACTTTTGCTGGTTGTTTTAAATCAAGAAGAGATTTGAATGCAGAATTCAAGCTACCGCCAATTTGTGTTGTTGGTAGTTGTAAATCTTCGTAGAAGCTTTTGGTTGGTAATGGTAAATGAAAATTACTTCGATGTGGCAACGGACGTAAAGCCGTTGTGAAAAGAGGTGTTTTAAACAATTTCCACCAATGTTGTAAATCATGTGAGTGAAGTGATGAATTCGACGTGTAATTCTCGAATGGTTGTGAATACAATTGATGAAATGGATTTAGATGTATTCGAGATGACGCTAAGTAGAAAGACATTTCTGGCGAAGAAGATATAGAATGTGTTGATGGTAATTCAAGGCGTTTTTCTGAGTAATCGTCAGCAGTTGTTGATGATACAACTAGTTCATTGTGAATACGTTTTTCCTTCGTTAATAGTTTTGTTGACAAACGTTTTGGAGATACAATTGGTTCTTCCTCATTTTCAGTCTTAGACATTTTTGTATCATCTGAATTTGTTTGATGTGATCTATTACCATGAGTTGTGATGGTGGTGGATGATAACGTTCGTTTGCGATTTCCTCCATTGAACATTGCTTTGACATCTTCCCATGCATCATGCAATTCTTCACTGTTTGACGGATTATGTAATTTTAAATGTCGACGCCAAGCATTAAAATTCTTAAAAAAATCAAATAACTATCATGAAATAAATGTTAATATTACTCATACGTACAGGTGAATCTGGTTGAATGTAGGTCAAGTTTGGTAAACGATGTGAATGAAATATAAATTTATTTGGCGACAAAAAACTATCACAAAATGAGCATCTAAAGAAACAGCTGACATAGCAGACACAACTAGTACGTAATATTTTCGAATTTATCTATACCTAATACATTTTGCACGTGAACTGTTATATCGAATTGGTATAAATAATCCACGATTACCCCAGCCGCATTGATGATAAACTTCAAAAACAAAATTATCAGGTAATGACAATTGTTTTGTTTTTTCCAGAAATGAATTCACCAAACGTTCGGCCTCTCGTCGCGTTATCATTCCACATCGGCGTGATGAACTCGGCATTGCACCTGAAAAACAACACGTCAAGTTAAATAAATAACGCTTATTATTACGATTAGCATTCGCTTACCTGCACGACGCAATAACTCGAGTTGAACAGGAGTGCATTGAATACAAGTAATACCCAATGCTATGAACAAAAATAAAACATGAGTTTAATGAGAATTTTTAGTAGACTATAATTGCTTACCAACACGTCGATTATGTATCTCATTGTAGTTATAACTTTTTAATAAATCATTTGATATTTGGGCTAAACAAAGACGTTCTTTGCCATCATTTATAAGACTAATAATGGGAACGCCATGAATAACGACTGTCCCTACATGGCTATTATCATGTCTGCTCGATTGTAAAAAATCGGAGGACATAGGTGACACTGTCAAATCATTTTCAATAATGTCGCTCATTTCTATAATGAGAAAAAGTTTCAGAAAAGGATAGGTAAGAACTGTTGCAGAAAAACGGCCAGAATAGGACAAAATTATCTAAGCATTAATCGTGTTCTTCGAATAGAAATACCATTAGTAGTACCACTAGTTCGAGCTCTCTGATGTGGAAAATCAGATTGTCTTTGGAAGTAATATTTAATTCTATCGTTGAATTTGTTAACCATATGCTACGTATTCACAGTTAAATGCTTTTATTTTCATCAATCCTTCTTTTTTCTCTCTGATGTTCACTTGAATTCTGATAAGTTTGTTACAAAAATCCATTATGAGAAATAATTTTCATAAATTATATTGTCATTCATATGTACATTTTTTAAGTGTCATTTTCAAAGTGATTAGTGACATAATGAAGTGTGCGGATTAATAATGATCAAATTCATTCTTTTCTATATTGAGAAAAAAATCGAAAATGCATCTTTTTCTTTTTTCTTCTTTGAACGTGAAAATGTCAAAATCTACATTTTTATCCAATGATTATACGTCTACTATTGAGCTAATCAAGTAGAAAATTTGAACATATTTAGAGTATTTCAAAAAAAGAAATCGCTGTTTTCACATGTCGATAGATAAACGAGTCTTTTTCATTACGAGTCATCTCACAGCAAGTTTGATGTTACTGCAAATCATGCTCTTCGCCAGGGGCGTAGCGAGGGCTCAAAAGCAGGGAGGGGATGACTTAAAATTTTCCTGTTAAATAGTGCTGTTTTTTTACGAAAATATGATCTTTACATTGCCCTTACTACGCAGGAAAAGAAGATTTATCATATTTTGCTGCGGAAAAAGCAAACATTTTCAAAAGTAGGAGTGGGTCACACACCACACCCCGCGGTCGCTACACCCCTGCTCTTCGCTCCTGTACTAACATCGGTAATCATACATTTTTTCGAAGAAAAATCAATGTTCTTAAAATTGTAAGACTCGATCAGATTGAACACGGAACTTTCAATCGATTCTACCAATTGTGCACTTAATTGAGGAACAAAAACTGAAGCAATTCAGTTTTATTTATTCGATATGATAATTAGAAAAACATCATTATCTTAGCACGTTGTTGACCAAAAACTACCTCAGAAAAAAGATGTACATTCATCATCTCGTTAACGTGTTCAATAGCAACCTATTCTTCCACTCTCAATCGTAATCAGTTAGTAACCAGTGTTAAAAATAAAGTTTAAACTATCAAAATATTTTCATCAGTTGTTGTTGTGAGCGGAAGCTAGAGCATTATTTAAATAAGAATAAGCTTCAGAAATGCGAAAAAATCTATTTATCACTATGCTCGAACCTTGAAAATATTCAAGAACTAAATAGAAGCTTGTTTAGTTAGTCTTGTGAGCAGTAAGGCGTGATTATATCATCTGACTTTCTGCGCTGCCGTGGTCCTCAGATAAACTAATTATTTTTTAGTAATTATGATCTATTACAGCCATGTTCTCGAACGAGCGTTGTCTGATTCACGCAATACTTACTTAAACTATTTTTTCCGGTCAGAAACTGGTTCTGAAAAATGGCTAATCGTTACTTCAATCTTATTAATAAAATATCATGTCGTTGCAATTCAAGTTCAAAATTTTTAGTAGAATGCAACAGTTTTATAGCCACAGTTCAATATACATACCTTTTATACAAAGAACTTCTATACAATCTTCTTTATTTAAAATTTTATTTCGTTACTTTAAATGAAGATACATTTTACCCTTTATGGTTAACTAACAACGATTGGTTGAACTAATATCACCAGCCAATCAGATAAGAGGTATTAGGAGAGAAAAAGGAAGATGAGAAAAATATGAGAAAAAGGCCTTCTGTTCTTCGTTATTATTAGTAATTATTCATCCTACACTTAAAAGAGAAAGAGTCAATTTTCATATATTTCCGTGAAAAATTTTATTGTGTTTATTATGTAGGACGAAAGTGTCAAATGAAAACGTTCTTTAAACTTCCAGAAAGTTTTGAACTACATATCCGGTTCAAAACAATGGAAAATTTTATATCCATTGAGTTTCACGTCCAAATCAATATAATTTAATATTACGTTCTTTTTTGACTAGCATGTTTAAATTTAGTTCGACACTTAATCGTGTCCGAAAGCCGAGAATATTTGAGAAGCTCCATATATCTTCTTTATAAAAAATCATACTTTTTCCAGACTCACTGTTCTCTAAAAATTGCATAGATCAGTTTGTTTCAACACCGATAGGTTGAAGATATAACTGACTTCAGACATGACTGAAAAATAAAAATGCTTTCATCATCGTAGAGAACTCACAATTCTGTTTGCCATTTTTTGGGTCCTTTCTAAGGATTAGAAATTGTTTGTGGAAAAAACAGATAGTTTAAAAGAACGTTTCTGTTTAACAACATCGATTTAAAAACTTGTTTTTATACAGAAAACTTGCTTTTCTGTATCCATACTAGATAAAGCTAGAATTACTTATTATCTTAGATATCAAATTCCACAAGAATTTTGTTGAGAATGCTGTTTTTTCTGTATATCAAGGAAGTATTTATTGATGCTCGATAGAACTAGATCTCGTTGACTTTTAAACTCGCTTAGCATGGGATCGGCAGTGCTGAAAAAAAGAAGTTGGGACGTTTCTCGATAATCCTCTAAACCTGAAAGTAAGAACATTCTTGTTTGTGCCTACTGTTACTCGTATAGGATGCTGGTTTAATCAGTTCCAGTAACCCAATTTCCTCATTGTAACTAACAAACTTCCACCATGGCCTCTCATATCGTTACTAGTCATAAACCGCAGTTCTGTACAGTAGGCTAGTCTAAGCCATGGACCTTCATCTAATAACTTCATCTTCTTCTATACACTAACGAAACATGTACTACATTTGTGGGAAGCCAGAGAAACTATGTTGAACATCACGGTGTAGTAAGTGTGGAATCGAATGAGTGATCCAGGGTACTAATATATAAGCAATATCCTTGGTTTAGTAGAACTTAGTTTCAAATTTAATTCTCTGGTGTTTTGGAAAATTTCTTGGTAGTAAACTCAGATCGTATCTTTTCATTGTAATTGTAGTTTGATTTTTTAATTTTGCCCCCTATTATTAGCAAAAAATTCAAGTAGTCAAATAACTTCATTCGTGTACGTGTTCTACTGTGAATATATAGCTCTATAGATTTTCTTTTTCCGGTGTTTTAATTAAATGAGGAAAGTGTTTTGTTAGAGCACAACAGGATGAATAAAAAACATTAATACGAAAACATATTTAATCAAACTACTTGTTGATTTTTGAATAAAGGAACAAGAAATTATTATATGACATATACTTTTTTCTAATTATTGTGCATCTTTATTTACTCTTCCTCTTATTAAGCTAAATTGAAATTGATAAAAGTTTTTCAAAAACGATATAACAGACATACTCTCATTCGATACAGTTTGTAAAAGAACATGTTCTGAGTAAACAGTATTGAAATGTTCATTATATTTGGGCTATAAGCAGAGCTATACACTTGCAAAGCACCTTTAGTACATGTTTTATATCTGTATCCGGATTGTTTTTATCTTTTCAAGCATGCATTCTAAGACAAGATAAAGGTATAGATTTTTCCGTCCAACGAACGAAAAAATAATCGCTGTTTGTTCTACAGACGCTACTGTCCTATAATCACCTCTGATTTATTTGACGAATGTTACCGAATTTTCTCTTTTTGGAAACAGTAAGCTTCGAACTTTTTTATCAGTATTGAGTAACGATTTCTCCCTACACCATCAGTTGTAATTGTGATAAAAAATAAGGCAGATCAAGAAATTATATCAAATGAGAATATTGTGTTCTTGATCGGTTATCAAAAAACTTTATCAATGTTGTTAGTCAGCTTAATACAGGAAAGAGTGGCGATGAGCAATAATTAGAAAAAACTCTATGCCATATAATAAAGATGTGAGTATACAAAGTAAAATACTGCTGTGAAGATCCTCATTTTATTTTTTAAACTTTGAATATATATGAATAAAAACTTTACACGAAAGCCATTTTCAGATATTATGACGATGATAAACTATTTTCTCTCGTAGCATTCTTTTTCTAATATTCAGTTCTATTCGATGACTCATCATGTGGTTATCAATATAAGCGTTGATTTTAACAACAAACTTGATGATTTGCCTCATGAAGAGCTGTCAAATTATGCGTAATATTTCACTTCTAGACCGTTTTTCATGTGTTTTTCAAATTATCTCCGGAATTTCAGCAGTAATATAAGTGAAAATTGTTTTTTTCCACTTTTTCGATCTGAACTATTGGAAAAAAACTCTCTTGCAGTATCTCGTAGTCGAGTGTGAATCCATCTGACCAAATATATTTCTTATCAACTTTATTTTTGAAATTCTGCTCATTGAATAGTACAATGATTATGCCATTGGCTCTTGTATATCCATAATGCATGATCACAAAAGGCAAGTTAATCTTCCTAGTTTCAACTAATTGTTTTTTGTTGCTCTATTTCCTTTATCTTTTTTAAGCTTGTAATAAACAGAGAAGAAAGATCTAATACATTGTCAAGCTAGAAAAAGAAGAGCATAATAAACACTTCACTTCTAAAATAAAACAATTCGCACACAAACAAACAGGTGCCTATAGATTTGACAGAGAAATGACAAGTAAAATGAGTATAAGAAAGTACCTGTAAACAGAAAACAATAGTAGGATATCTATACATATATACAAAACGTTCATACGTCCCATGCTTTTAAAAAACATGACATACAAGTCTATAAATGTAGTACAAAAACTAAAGAATATATATCTACAGTGGTATCGTATCAAAGAGTTATGATAGTAAGTCGAACAATCAATTGATATTCTATAAAATATCATTGCAAAGAATAACAAGTACAAAATCAACAAAAAGTTATTGTATAATCTAGAAAATTTTCTGAAATATCTACCTATAAGACTATCATTTATTGCGTCGACGCTTTCATTCTCATTTAAAGTCGACCTTCGAACGACGTTTGAGACATTGATAGATGTATATCATTAACATCTCTGACTGTTTTTATTCTTGTTAACATTCTATCCATAAAAAAATGCGGTAAAGGTATCGATGAGAACCATATGGGGGAATCAGGTACGACAGTTGTTTCCGGTGTTAAATATAAGACATCTTGTCGACATTTAACTTGCTCTGGACATTTTGTCAGATAAAATTCAAATAATTTCACCGGACAACGTAATGGATCATCATAATTTTCAGCTTGTTCATAAATCAATTGTTGTTCTTCCATACCATGAAATGTTGTTGTCGGCGGATAATATCTTAGGTAAACTGATTTACCAAATTCTTCACCATGTGGCCCAATATTTCGTTTATAATGTCTTCGAACATTTGAAAATGATAATACATTATGTTCACTAACAGTTTTTAAAAAGAAATATTTTGTATTAAAATAGAGAATAGTATTAAGCAATATCCATGGTGAATGTGAGCCCAATTGTTTTGCTTCCCATAATACCTCTTCTTCAATACGAGAGCCTCCCAATGCATCTGGTGTTAATAAACGAACGTTAAAGTGGCCTAATACTAAATTTAATGCTGATTGAAATTGTTCAAACGTTGAATCAAAAAATATATTTTCTGTACGACGCAAATGATTATCTTCTTCATGATTACTTGTACCAAATGGTTTATTTTCTCTCAAATAATGTTGAATACATAAACAAAGATAGTATATTGAATCCGGTGCATATTCTTCGCCAGATACACGTCGTGCTTCTTTAACGAATAATGATAATGCTCGGTTTAATTCATCCGCACGATATTTCAATGGGTCTGATTTAAATAAACGTTTTGCAATGCGTGCTTCTGCTTCAACTGGTGTCATACGACGATTACGTGTATACTCTAAAAATCAAATAAAAACATTTTGATGACTGAGCGAAAGAACTTTCGTTATCATCAAGATACATACGCTGATATAATCTATTTCGAATTGGGTGATTTTTTCTTTCTATCCATTTCATGAATGCTTTAACACCCAAATGCCATTTTAAAATATCTTTCGAATCTTCTTGCTCCATTAAATAAAGTGCTAAATCTGGATTGTTTTGCGCATTATTACTGGTCAAAGCCGATGTTGATAAATCAAAATGTTCTACATCGTATTCAGTGGCAACATCGGTCGTTATTGATGATGCTGTCGTTGAAGCATTAGGTTTTCTTAGCTCAGTTGGATCATCTTCTTCCTCTGCACGTAAAATATGTTTATCCATTAGTAAATTTAAATCATGATCACGATCAATTAATGGCGTTGCTGTTGTTGTGGTTATCATACTTTTTGATATTATATCATCACCACCACCATTATCATTACCGAGACAGAGTATATCATCATTTGGAAATAATTTTTGAGCATAGGCTAGTATAAATGAATCATCGTCATTATCAGGAATACATTGGCCAAGTTTTTCTAAATAATCTGTATAATATTGAAATTTTTTATCGGATACAACAAAAAATATTGGAAATGGTACGGGAATCGGTACAGGAACTGGAACCGGTATATTGTCAACACCTAATGCTAAAGGTAAAGGTGTAATTAAACCAACGGGAACTGGTAATAGACCGATTGGTGGTAAGTCAGCTTCTGTTTGTGTTGAGCGACTAAATGTTATTGGTGAACATGCAATGGCTTTTGTATGTGTAAGAGGTTTACATAATGTTACTTTATGATTAATATAAGAACATAATGTTGATAATGGTAAATTGCTTAAACGTAATGCTTCACGGATATCAGGTAAATAATGTTGAGTTGCTGTTGTGCGAGATGTTAAGCGCTCTTCATCATTTTCATCTTGAAATTCCTTATCAATGGGTGAGTCACGCGGTCCTGTTTTGTAAAGCATTTTGTATAAGAAATCTGCAAATTTAAACCAATAGACAGTCAGAAATTAAAATTAACTTCTTATTTCTATTGTTTGATGCATACTTTAACAGAATAAATCATGTCATCTGTGAGAATAAAAAAAAAAGAAGAAATCAAGACATTTATGCGTTCACATGCATTCATTCTAGGGACCTACTTGAGGACTATTTTCGGCCCATGTACAACCCTAAACAATTTGTCCATGGACACGCTCTAGTTAACGCTGCATATTATTTGTATTACATCTTAAAGCGGGCACTTACAAAGAATTAGTGTTTGCTATAAGTAAGTTCAAATCGTATAATTTTTACAAGATGGCTATCATACTTAACACTTCTGTTTGAGCTAAAGTCTTCAATTTTTGTCAAAGAGTAATAAAAAGTTTGTTTCACCATCACACAAAATCTTAATAAGGACTGATGCACAAATTCTTTCTCAGGGACGCTTCATCAATATAATTAAGTAGCTGCTTAACATAAATTGTCGTTCTTAATTTTGGCTAAGTAGTTACTTGACTTAAGGCCATTCATGAAACGACCTCCGGATCATGCTCGATGCTGAGTTCTAACTAGTGGCGTAGCCAGGATTTTGTTAATGGATGGGCGTTGCCCTCAATTTTTTCAAAGTAGGAGACATTAGCGCAGAGTAGTGTGAATTATAAAACTTTTAGTGGGTGAACAAAACCATTTAGTGGATGGGCTGAGCCCACCCGGTGGCTACGCCAATAGTTCTAACACAAAATAAGTAGCAAAAAGCCGCAAAACTATTAACTCATAGAACTAGTGAAGTGATTAAAATACATCAAGAGCAAATGCTGGAAGCAATTTATTACAATCAATGTAAGGAATCAACGAACTACGTCGATTATGAAGCCCTTTCCCTAACTTTTGATCCTACGCTACTTCGACTTTTCTTCAAAGACTTCGAAGTTACCGCTGTCAAACAGCCATTTTTTTCGAGAAAAACGATTTGACTAATCAGAAACAAGGCCTCCACAAATACATCTATTCCTCTTTTGTTCGAAGAGATTTCACTCATTTCTATTGATTTTAAACTTTTCACGTTGATTGTAGTGTGCTCTCTTGGTTATGCCTTTTCTATCTTGTGGTGTCCCTCACCGTTTTTAAACTGCCCTGTTATTTTCCGGATGCCGATGCCAACTATTTTTGTATATGAATTACCTAAAACCTATAGAAGTTATACACACTTCTGGGTTAGTAAAATAGTTAGCTAGCTGCTGAAATTACAAAAACTTTCCAGTTTAAGCTTCAACTAAATTAGTTTAGGTAAAAAGGTTATTGCTCATGCTAATAAGTTCTCCCAAAGCAAGTTTCGCTATAAATCGCGTTTTGCGTGATGCGCCTGTTTCTCTACGGTCACTTTTTTATAAGTATTGTGTAATACCTAAAGGTGACTACTGCTCCGCAATCTACAATCAGGGTGCCAAAATCCAGTTTTTCATAAAAAGTCAGTTGATCAGGAGATTTTTTTCGAAAAAATCAGCAGCATATCACCGACAAAAAATTAAAGTTCATTTAGAGTTTAAAAAAGTGCTTTTCGTATCCAGCACACCTGATAACCTGGAAAATTTTCTATTTTTAGCGCGGGGTACCGCCAAAAAGTTAAGAAAAATTTTCAAAATTGTATAATTTTACCATGGAGATTTTTCTGCGTCAATTTGATTGAAAATTTTTCTTAACTTTTTGGCGGTACCCCGCGCTAAAAATAGAAAATTTTTCAGATTATCAAGTGTGCTGAGTACGAAAAAGCACTTTTCTTTAACTCTAAACAAACTTTAATTTTTTTTTATCGGTGATATGAAAAACCAGGAGATTTTTTTTCGAATTCAGGAAACAAGAGAGCATCAAGCAGCTTTTTCTCGGAAAAACAAAACAAAACAAAAAAATCGAATAACTTTTTCAAAAACATAGTTTTTTCTGAAAAAGTTTTTTTTTGAAATATTTTTCATGAAACAGTATCATCATTTGTTACAGACTGTAGTACGGATTGAGGAAGAAGATTTTGACCCAATGGGTTTGGAAGTTCACTAATCACATCTTCGTGTGATGAGAACATTCGATAAGTACACAGGGGCTCTTTCAATGTACAATTATTTCGACCCTTGATCCACAAATTGTTTCTTAAACTGATAATCTCAGTTTCGGATAAAAACAGAATCGATGCAGGAAAACAATTGAAAATTAGGAGAAAATCTTAAAAATCAGCTCCTGAAATCAGGAGAATTTTCATCAGCAGAAAAATCTAAAAATCAGGAGTCTCCTGGTCAAATCAGGAGATTTGGGACTCTATCTACAATTCAGGTTTCATTACTCATACTGAGTCACTGGAATCTGTAGTGGTTAGCTGCCTGAATTATTACTGGAAACTTAAATTACCAAGCAGAAAATCCTGGTATAGTTACAATTGCCAGGTTTGAAGAGTAGGCGCCCTTACTTTCGTTTAGGTAATTTCTATCATTTACTCTATAACTACTCAATACTTAGTTCTTCTAATCTGATTACTTTTTCTTTCACTAAATTATCGGGACGTAATACGCCCCATTATCGTTGAGTCACGATACAAATCTTTTTTTGACAGACTGCGGTTGACTGAAATACTCTACTAACTGAGTCCTTGGTAACTGCACCTAACTTACGCTTATTCAAATTCGGTTTACGCACTCTTCTAAACGAGAAGCATTCAAATGGTCGCGTGCAGTACCAAAATTGTCAAATATACAGAGGTAAAAAAGGTAAAAACCGCCCATGAGCACCCTAAAAGTGAACAGAAATTTTGCGTCGATAAGCAGTCCTGTTACTACGGATATAACTATATGTTCTCGCTCAACGTTCCTTTAGACTGAAAGAAAAAATATTAATTAATATGGCAAGCAGATACCCCAAAAAATCATTGGAACTAGCAGCCTTTTCGATTAGGTGGAGGAATTCCCTTTCTTTGTTTGAAATGAATTACTCACTTGAGAAAAAAAATGACTCAGTCAATCATAAACAAATTTTTCTCACTCAGAAAAGTCTTTTTAACAAAAAGATTTTTTTTCTTTTTTGCTTGCACTCCAGAATTTTTGCAGAACTCCAGAAATATTAAAAAATATCTGGCAAATCTTTCTGGATTCAACTGCCATTTCAAAAATTCCCATTACACCTTCAACTCAAATTATATGGTTAGATAGGTCAAAATGTCCTCTAACGATCTGTGCAAGTCTGAGGTCAGTAGCTTTCTCCATTACGGAGAAGGCTTAGTTTTGCTGCGACAGACCTATTTCGTTATTATCAAGTTTGGGAACTTTTTTTGATGAAAAGATTTGCCCTAAGCCTTCTTTTTTCGAACGGTGAAAACCGCAAGTCTTCATCATTTTCCGTTGAAAAATTACACAAAAAGTTCGGGAGTGCACTGTATTTTGACTCCGATACAAGAAAGCGTATCACTGAAAACATGTCAAAGAAACATTATGCAGATTATATTCTTGTAAACAGTTTCATGTTTATGATATTTTATATTTAAACAGAAAGTCTTTATTATAAAAAAAATACGAAAAAAAGAAAACATATTTATACAGTTTCACGACAGAAAGTATTGAGACGTATTATATCCGTTGTTTTGCAATAAAAAAGAAAGAAAAAACTTTGCAGGTATATAGCAGTCGATGAACATAGATTCTTAATTGTGAAGCCAACAAATTCATCCAAAAGATAAACGCAGTCGGTTTGTAAACGATAGCCAAAGCATAAATTAATAAAACAAAACAACTGTCTCTTGTTTTCATATGAAAGCGTATATAGATTATATGATCAAAGTAAACCTTCTTAACTATATTCGAAACCAGAACTTGACTGTATTGCATACAATAGTTTTTCTTTCAAAGCATTTTCATCTTGATACTCCGGTAATTTCAACAAATTTATGCACGTATTTGATGTTGGTAAACGATCGTTGTCTGAACCAGCTGACTGAATACAAAATTCTGGATACAATTCCTAGAAAAGACGTATAGCAGTTGATTAATAAACTTCCAAGCATTTAAAATATACAATAAAAGACGAAACAAGACACACATGAATCAAAGAGGAGCACTAAACTATAAGAAGCAAAAGCTTTCAAATTTTTTTGAGTATGATATAACTGAAGTTTTAAATAAACTTGGCCATGTTTAAGTTGCACACATACTTTAAAACCAAACAGTGGCGGTCTTGAACAGCTTGTTGTGAACTTCAGTAACTGACGTTTCTGATTTTCTGTAAAATCATGTACACTTCTCCAAAATGCCTGTACAACTGGATGTTCCTGGTTATAGGGAGCTAAACAAAAAAATAATTACAGCTTATTCTATCTTAGGTTTCAACTATTTGTATACCTCGATATTGTGCATATTTTCTCCAATCATTAACATCAATATCACCACTCACTCCAGATATAAGTATTCGTAGTTCATTTGCATCAAACATTCTTAACCATTCGAGATTAATAACATCTCCGAGTCCTTCTCGAAACTTCAATACTTGTTCATTAATCTAAAAAACAGTAAAATTTATTGATTTGTCTCCTGTGCAATAATTTTGCTTGCCTGTTTATTCAATTTATAGTTGGCTACTAAATGGATATATTCGATACGATTATCATTTGTCACAGCTATATTTCTTCCATTTGGTTTCAGATCAATAACCTAATAAAAAGCGTTAATTCATACATCATATATGACATGCTTATGGTGCTCTTACTTGTGTTTGTCCAATTTCACTGTTTACAATGGTGAAATCGAGTCCCAAATCTTCAACATTGCCATTATATTTTTTCAAATAAAGTAAATTTTTATACATTTCTGGATCAAGCGAAGACAAATGATGTATGTCAACTTTTCCTGATGAACGACTTAGAATTTTTTGTAGGAAAAATGTTGCAAATGGCAGTTCAGCAAGAAACTTTTCATAGATCGCCTTGAAAACAAACACAAGAATACTGAGGTGAAAATCTACGATCATTTTTCTCTTCACATACTTTGCCTAACATTCGACCGAGAAAATAATAATGTGAGCCAAAATTTGGTTCGATAAAACCGATTGTTGGATTTGGATATAAATAACCATCACTGGTCAATTTGAATAGTCCACGTATGGGATTAAATGCCGACTTTAATAATTCATTCATAAATTCACGAAATAATCCTCCACCATCAATTCCAGCTTCGTCAAGACCGGCTGAGTTAATAAAACTAACACGAAATTTTTTTTGAAGATTTGGTTCTAAACAAATAAATATAGTGATAGAGAGTTCTCTCTAACTGTAATAAATAGATGAATATCAATAATACCATTTTCTGCACTGAGTTTTTCAAATGCATCTTCATAAATATAATCCCGTCGTATTCGAATACTAATTGAATCACCTTGTAAAAATTCAGCATTCCGTTGTTGTTCATTTTTATTTTGTTGTATAAGTAAATTTAATACCTAAGTAGATTTTCTCATTAAATAATAAATTTTCATTTTACTTTAAAACATACCTGAACACGAACTGCAAATGGAATCACAAATGGGATTTGTTGTAATATGGTTATTAGACGAAGTTCACTAGCAAGAAATTGGAATGTATTCGGTCCTAAAACATAAGAAATTATGGAACATATACACCTAGTTGCAAAGCAGATGCGTACCACGACTATCACGTGTTTCTGGTGTTAATAATGACGGTTCAGCTAAACCACGTGCAAGTGGAATTATGTACAGCTAAATATCAAGTAAAAAGTCAATTGCACTTTAAAATATGAAAGACAAATCTTACTTTATCCAATTGTAGAGAATATTGATTTGTAAGCCAATATTCAGGCGGACAAAAACGACGACGAACATCTCGTGAACGAAGTTGTTGTAGTAACTGCACAATTACCTAAAATAAAATGAACCAAATTTGTTCAAGACACTTGCAAAGAATCTTCCTAGGAAAAAAATGTAGCAGGTAGAAAAGATTACTGTTATCCTCCTGAGCAGAAATTTGATTTATAACCATGTTATGATAACTAACCTTAAAAATAACTGAAAAGTGTGATGAACGTTGTCTGATAAGATCCATTTGTTTGTGTGCTCTTGCTGCGGATGCTTCTCTAGCTGATGTTACGATTGGTTGTGAACTGATTAAAATTTCATCATTATGACTAATATTATTTGATTGCATAGGAATTTGTTTATCAGGATACATGTATCGTATTATTCCCATACAAACATCACGGAGAATTTTTACAATGTCGGGTATTTCAGTAATTTGAAATACAGTGGCAGCTAAATTAAATTTATTGATTTATTTCAAGTACATAACAAATAGGATTTTTGCTTCTACTTACGCATTCCATCCCAAAATTCATCGTCATGTAACGGTACGAGTGACATACTGTACAATGAGCAAAATGTCATTAACAATGGTTCAATACGATCAATCTCACTATCTTTTAGTGTACTACCCCATGATATATGTGACAGTAAAAGAATATTTTCTCTAAATAAACGAATGCGTTAGAAAGTTTTTGTTTAGACGAACGCCTTATAATACCTATAATCCGTTTCGTATTTCATGTCACGAGAAATAGTCCATAATTGACTAAGAAACAGTGGTGCTGTACTTAGAGACATAAGAAAACTAGAATAAAAGCGCATTTATACTATGCAAAGAAATATTATTTTATTTACGTTACCTTGAACGAAGAATTTGCACATTTCGACGAAATATCAGCACATGAGCTATGACAGCCAAACTTGTAATGTATTCTTCATCAACAACATGAAGAGTAGAATTGTTAATTGTTGATATTGATTTAAGAAAAAATGATGAAATTGATCGTTTATTAAGTATATTTATACAATCATCGATTAGTTCATAATATTTTTCATCCTAGAAAAAAAGAACAATAATTTTATACAAGATCATTAGACACAAAAAAGTTTCTTACACTGCTTTGAGATGAAAAATCCATTCTGTCATCTGAGTCATCATCATCGCCTCGATCAACATTATCCAGTGAATTTTCTATATGTGTCGGCCTGATAAGACCAGTAATCAAATAACGTACAATACATACAACTCGTACAGATAAAGATGTTGGTATTTCATCTATACAAGAATATATTTACTATTGAATGACGTTCACTACTTTGAAAACAGATAATATATACATACCAATTTTACTATCTAACATTAAAAGTAACGAATGTAATTGAAATAATTTCCAGTCTTCATAGTTCGATGTTGGATTGGTCACATCATATAATTCAATATAACGTGAAATAGGAAATTTCGAACGTTTAACAAGTGCTGGTATAATAATTAATGGTAATGCTGGTAAATCTGAACGTGAAAATACCTCGTTTCGTAAAGCTATCAGTGCTTCATCTCTGAAAAAAACCGTGAAAAGAAAATGAAGTAGAGATGACCTATCATTTTAAAACTATACTCACACAGACAATTGCCCACCTTACACATTGATCCAATGATACGGATTCAATTGGTCTGGCGATCATTTCAAGAATTGGTTCAACAGCGAATATACGCGAATTTTTTCCAACAGTCGACGGAATTTTCGTTTCAATAACAGAACACATTTGAATATAAAAACCTATAAAAAAAGATTTTTATATTAAACAGTTTAAAAAACAAACAAACATCACATATAGCTATATACCGTTGCGAATAATATTTTGAAGAAAGTATGTTGTTAACATTTGTACTGTCGACTTTTGAGCATTTGCATAACTATTTACATCTGTAAACCATTCAATCAAACGCATTGGTCTCTGAATGGATTCAAAATTTGATAGACATCTACAATAGATAATAAAAAAAATAGTGATTACTTATTTACTAGTCTAGTCTTGCTGACCTGACGGTGTAAATTAACATTTTTGCAGTTGCTATACGCAGTGATGATGACGAGGAATCGTCTAGAATAAGTTTGACTGCAATTTTTTCTTTATGTTTCCAGCATATTTCGATGAGCGACATCTTAAAAGCAATAAAAAATAAACAAGTTGTGACTGACAGATTTAGAATTAAAATTAAATCTACTTACAAGTGTAACGGCATCTTTTGTTGAATTAAAACCAAAGCTTAATAAAATTGACAAATGTATTAACACATTTTCATCAAATAAGGTTGATTTTTGTTGTTGTTGGATTAAACTGGATATACGCGATCTAGCTAACTGTGTCTAAAAATAAAAAGAAGTACTCATAACCAACTAACGAAACAAAAATATTTAACGAATAAATTTACAAACCAATTTTTTTTGAGCTAACGAACGTCGAAAATAACTTTGAATTTTTATCGATGCAAATATTTGTCGTCTAGTGAGCTAAACAGAGAAATAACAAACTATGTTAACGTATTTACATATTACTAAATTCATTAATAAAATAGCTTGCCTCTCGCTGTTTACGTTCCGTATTAGTACGAGTAATAAAATCATCTCGACTTGACTAAAATAGAAAAGTTTATCATATCAATGTTTTTTCACACTTTGATGGAAAGGATTTTACAGTTGGACGTCAGTAATCTTTATATTACAAAGTAATGTTTTTTTCTTTAAAGAAGAAAATCTTACCGAATGAGCTACTCTACTGTAATCTTGATCGGGATGTGAGCGATACTGTCCGGTAAACAAAAATGTTTGTGTCATCTTTAAGAACAAAAAAAAGTCATTGATAACAAAGGTGAAATGAAGAGAAAATTGAATCTGACACAATTTCTTTTTGAAAACATAATTGGATTGATAAATATAGTTAAAAGGATAAGTAGCGATAGAAGAAACAATGAAATTGATATCTCAGGTCACCTACTACTGGAAAGAAAGCACACATACTGCTGAACCTGACATCAATTTTGAACAGAAGGACAAACATCTCTCTCTATGATAAGGAAAACTGCACCAAGAATGTGTGTACAGAGACATTTAGGTAAAGTTTTATAAAGATTCCTTTAAAAACAACATTTTTAACAAAAAATGTATCTGAAAAATTCTCTAGTAAATGTTACAGAAAATAAGGTAAAAACAAGTATAACGAAAATGAACATCATAACCAGAACAAATAAAACATTTAGTATAAAGTTCTCATATTGTTACTGTTGTTGTACAAGCTCCTTTTGTCACATTTTTCACAAAATGTGGATGTAGTATTTTAATGAGTAAATTTCACACTATTGTTCAACATCGATCGAATTTGATAGTGACCAAAGGTTACACTGGTATGTTTTAATTTCACCTGATTGTAGGTTTAGTTCACAAAAGAGTACATGTGGTTTCGATCTAAAAATCATTTATCCAGTTTCATCTGAATAAATCAAACTTCATTACTTTGAAACTGATTGATTGTAATCTTTTAAATTCGTTCCAGTTGCAGGTGTTTCAATAATTGGCGATACTCCAGTTAATGATGATTTATTTGTAAATTTAATTTTGCAATGAACTGTTTTACTAGCAAGGAAAACTGGACCGCACAATACATTTGCAACATAATTTCAGTCATTGTAAAATTGCGTACCAGTCTCAGTACATCGCATATCTAAAACAATAAACACTTTTTAACATTTATACGTCTATAAAAATTTCTGCAAAAGAAATGATATTGGAATAAAACTGTAGTGTTATGCCATTAGGGCTGCTTTGCTACTATCCTAGACAAAGGAAAAGGTAGTAATGTTAAAATTTCTCTTTGGTCTGCTTATTTTGTATTTTGCAAATGGCTTCGTAATATACGCCTGAAAATTTTCTAAACGAAATAATATACTTACAAGCAATAACTTATCATTGATGAGTAACAATAAAAAGAAACAGTATCACCTCAAATCAGAACGATCTTAAACGGCATAATCGTCTTTCAAAAGCATTGCATATATAAACATTTTTGAAACAGAAGTTTTCTTCTACAGTTACATAGTAAGTTGCCGGATACTTCTACGGAATGAATCATTCACACACAGACACATACACCTACATGTATACATAATAATCATTGTATGTGTAGCATAACATAAACGTGACGATCGCAGCAACTTTCGATTACTCAACGCGCGCCTTTAGGAATCACATTCTATGTCTTTTTCGTGTTGATAGTGCCTTGTGACAGCTCTTTCCGACAGCTAGTGCGGTATAAATAATCAAAAAACTTTTCTAGAACCGAATGCGAATGAATCATCGAAAGCAAATCCAATTGAACAGGGATTCAACCTCTCAGGTTCTGTGATAGTTCCTCGCTCAAAAACGTGATGCTCCAAGCAGTACAAGTGTTCAAGAGGAAAACAGGAGTAAAATAAATTGATTATTCATTATCGTATACCTGATGATGAATTAAGATCTGTATGTAGCCTTTAGTAGATAAAATTAGAGCGCTTTTGTTCTGGAGCTAAAACTGGAAAACATCAGAAATAGTACCGCTTACAACGCGAACGCGAGAGGTAAATGCACTTTTCGCGTTGCATCATCTACACATATAATATGGTATTTGTGTAAATAGAACTCGACCAGTTCTCAAAAACCTATGGGGTCTTGTCTCCGGCAGAAAAATACTGGTATGCTTTAAACAGATTTATCTCACCCAATCTTTCGAATAAATATTGTATCGTGTCTAAATTATACTATTACTAAGTATTATTAGAGTTAAATTTCATACAATCGATGATGATAGGTTATGATTATGTATTTGTTATTAATGGAACACATCGATCAACTTTATTTACTGAATCTCTATGAATAAAAGACAAAAGACCTGACAAAAATCATCTACACTACCCAGGTAAGCGAAAAACTATTGAAGGCGGTCGTCATGACTAGTCCAAAATGTCCATATATCCCGTCAGGACTAGTCTGGAACGTCCTTTTCACTCGTCATGACTAGTCCAGTTTTTAACAAATGTCCGTATAACCCGTCTAGACTGGTCTGGAGTGTTTCTTCGAACCGTCAGGACTAGTCTGGAACGTCCTTTTCACTCGTCATGACTAGTCCAGTTTTTAACAAATGTCCGTATAACCCGTCTAGACTGGTCTGGAGTGTTTCTTCGAACCGTCAGGACTAGTCTGTTTTGTCCGCTACACCCGTCTAGACTAATCCAAAGAAAAAAAAGATGACATGAATAATTTCATAGTCTTAGTTCGAACCATTACACCGTCTGCGCAAAGAAATTGATACTCGGGTCGGACGAACGTCTGGTACATTGTTCTAAACAAATACGACTGTGCCCGTCGACGAGCACTTTCTGATTAGGGAAATTAATGAATGTACGACTGAATTATACATAGAAGTATATGTCGCATTTTGTAGAGCGCATAATTCTGTATAAGATAGAGTAATTTACAATGTTGCCAATGGTAGCTTCATGAAGAAACTTAGACATCAAATGTAGCCGGTAGCAAGAAATTGGAAAAGTTGTTCTAATAATTTCAATTTTTCCACTAGAAAGATGTGAGTTTGAAACAGAAGCGAGGTGATATTTGGAATCCGCGTGAAAACTGAATTGAACGATGCATACATATTACAGGGTTTTTTGAGCAAAGAATTTTTTCGAAAACTTTCCCCTTGACTCAACCATGCAACCATGGACTAAAATTTGTAAAACAAATTTTTTTGCTCAGAACTATTTATTCGGAAGTTATGATAAGGTTGCAACGAAGACCTAAATTCTTAAAAAGCTTCAGCGAAATATTCCTCACATATACTAAAAACTAGCATGCATAAACTGATGGCGCAATGGCTCAGTTGGTTTAATATCGCAGGTATGCGCATGTTCGCTTCTAACTTATTTCTCTATCTTTCTTTCATTTACACTAGTCCAGACGTCGTCAGTACATAGGTTGGCAGACTAGTGAGCGACACTACTACGGACCGTTTTCTTTTAATTAACGGTTAAGATTTTGGACTAGTCATGATGGGGGCGTTTTTGTCGTAAAGACTAGTCGAGACGGTCGTCAGGACTAAGGAAAAAGACTAGTCATTTCATCCGTCTTTTGCTTATCTGGGTGAGGTGGCAAGGGCTTTATTCATAAAGAACAGCCTGAATAATAGTATGTACACCAGGGCCCATGACACGAAGTCTTATGCCCATTATCTGGGTAGTATGGCAAAAGTCTAGTGAATATACTCATGCGTACTCAAAAAGTACTCCGCGAGCCTTTTGAGTACTCAAAAGCCAGACGAGTACTTATAAGATGCACCCAGGGCAGCCTTGCAGTGAAATTTATTTTTCGACACTTCATACACCATTCGATAGAGAATTTCGCGGTGATCACGAATATCACTTCCAAGGCTCTCAGAACCCTTTCCTCACT